TTTACATTGCTAATTGCTTGTTGCGTAATATTCCTCCAGAAATTAGGGACCTGTGAATGTCACTGAGTGTATATAAGAGGGTTATCGCTAATTGGCTGATGGAGATAGGCCTTGACAATACAGAGTCGCTTATCAGCCCAGAATATCTCGTTTAGACCTAACCAACTGATAACTGGACTATCTATTGTAAGTACTGTACCTTCCACAGCACTCTTACTTGACGGAATCTACGCCTCAGTAAAATTGGGAATTGAAAAAAAAAGTTAATGTGTTCATCAGATGTAATCAAGCAATGAGTTCCCCAAGTTATTGAGTTGCACATTGTATATGGTTGTTAGGTTGTTATAATTATAATTGTATCTATAAGTATAAAAGAGGATGTTTGTATATATATATATATATATATATATCCCGTTGCAAAGCACGGGTACAACAGCTAGTATATATATATATATATATATATATACTAGCTGTTGTACCCGTGCTGCAACGGGAAGAGGACACAAAATATAAACATTTTAATCTTTACATCTGTTGCATATAGCCTAATAGTTACACATCCGCCAACGCTTTTAAAAACAAAATTCAACTTTTATAGCCTTAATAGAAACGTTTAAGTTACCCGGTATATGACTTTTAAATCTGGCAAGTAGTGGATACCACCATTTTGGTTTTGATTAATTTTAAATCTTGTGTAGTGTAGGCTGATATGAGAAAAACTTACCAAATCTTCGAATAAAACATTTGACATACGGTACATGATTTACCTTCATCTTACATATCTATTAATTGATTATTGACATTTTAAATTTCAATTTTGAAGTTGCAAAAATACTAATTATTAAATTTTAATGAACATTTTGTTAAATTTCACTCTTCTTTAGCCTATATTAAATCACAAATCCTTCCATGTTCAGTTTCTTCACTCACAATAAATCATTAGCAAAACTAAGTCAGCTGTTATAAACTTTAGAAATATTGCTGTGCCTTATTAATACAGTTTTTTGAAATATTAAAGAAACTATATCTAGGTACTATAAAAAATTTAAACAAATAACTGAGCATTAAAGACAGCAGACAAAACTAATATGATTATCAATATTATATATTATCAATATTATATAAAAATGTAAAAATGTGTATGTGTAAATGTATAATATGTTATATAAAATGTATATTGTATAAAAATGTAATACCTAATTGTACTGTCGATACAATCTATATTGTCAAGACAATAAAGTATTTATTTATTTTATTTATTTATTTAATAGCAAATACAGTATATGTTTCATTGCATCTCTGATTCTACTCTACAAAAATATCAACAAACAACTTAATATACAAACTCGTTTTTTTAATCAGTTCCATCGTCCATTGCCTTTACATTTTAACACTTACCATTAAGTAAACATAGTAACAGATATATCATTGATTTTAGAAACAAAAGAACACTGTGTACTGCTTAGTTTTATGATATTTTCCTTGGTTTAATTTAATCAGTGGTGTGGCAAAACACAAATAATAAATATATCAAATAAAGTAAATGTTAACTGAAAGCTATGTTAAGATCAAATAAGAGTATTTTGTATTAGCATTTGATAATTAAATATAGTTACATATATAGGCCTACAACAGATTTTAGAAAACAAAAATCAACGTACAATTTAGTTATTGATGATATTCTTTAGTTTAATTTAAGCATAGGTTTAGCAAAACACAATAACTCAATACCTACCTAAATATACATATAAAAAACAATGTGATGTGCAAGTTATGTTAAGTTAATCTAACACATGTTAAGCAGTTAGAATTTTTTTAAAGTAGCCTCCAAATTCATATGAAACATCTACCGGTATACTTTGTAATTTTAATACTGTTTCCATGAAAACATATCAATAACATTATTTTCATAACTTTTAGACGCTTTAAAAAATCCAAAGCAGAGCCGGAGTTGATACAGCAACCGTTATAGAATTCTTATTGACATAGTTTTAGAATAAATAATCCATGATAAAAGGTTAGATTAAAATAAACGCGTCACCTCATAGTTATGGAAATATGATATTTAATTTCTTTGTATCAGCTGTCTGAAATTGTGAAATATGCAGTTAAGCAGTTCTTCTTGTTTACATTTAAATGTCAAAGCAAATGTAAACAAACATTGTTAGTGTTCTCATCACAGCCATGGAGACCAATCAATATTTACTTTTAAAATGTTCACCTAGTAACTTTTAAAGCCAAAGGGGTAAAGCCTACGGTCAGTATCGAAATGTGAATAGTCCTATAATGGTCCTTGGTATGGTAGCTATATTTTTGTATTATTTAAGCCCAGTTGGTTCAGTAGTTTTTGTACCTATTAGTAATACACATACAGACAGACACCATTAGATTTTTATATAATAGTACAGATATATATATATATGTATATTTGTTTGGCAGTGATAAACTCAGACACCGCTGAACCGATTGCCACGAAACTTGGTACATACGTGTAGAATTTCATGGAATAGGTTTATACACCATCAATTTCGTGATCCGTCCAATCAGCTCCGCCCCAGTGGCTCTGGAGTTTCCCATGTTAACCTTATGAGAAATGGAATTAATGAATCTTAACAGCTGTTTCAATTAAACAAGTTGGTTCTGTTCTATGATGTTCAATAGCATTAAAGTTACAAGGATTACCAACAGGGTGCAGCACTATTATTTCTTTTACATTTATGACAACAGCTAATTTGCAACCAAAAGGTGAGTTAGCGTAGCGAACAAACTAACCTGAAGGCAAGTGAGCGTAGCGAACGAGCTAACCTGAAGGCAAGTGAGCGCAGCTAACGAGCTCCAACCTAAAGGTGAGTGAGCGTAGCGAACGAACTTCAACCAGGACGTGATTGAGCCATGCGTACGAGATCATCTTGAAAATTTAGAAGTTAAACGGGGCAAAGCCCGCGGGTTACAGCTAGTATTAAATTAAATTGTATGCTTATTTTACCAAGTTATTGTTGGTTTTTTTTTTTATGTGTAGTGAAGTGTGAAGAACTTTTATTTTGATGAAGCAGCTAGTAAGGACTCTATCACGCACAGGTCATTGTGACCCATGTGATATTTTTATTTTTGAATGTATTGCTGCAAAATAATGTGTATAAATAAAGAATTTCTCTGTCTCTCTCTCTCTCTCTCAATCGTCACAGTTAGTTTTAAAAATGTCTACTTAATCATGACAAATAAATGGGGAAATGGGAGGTTTTGCACACAGTTCTAGACGTTAAAACTGGCTGTAGAAAGTCACCCAACATGAATTTCAAAACACACTGTAGACTACGGCCATATCCTCCTAAAAGCCGTTGGATCACCCGAAGTGGGAGTTTAGGACAATTGGGCATGGTTTAAGGTGTTAAAAATGGCTTTAGAAAGTCACCAAACGGCTTTGAAAATTCAAAATTTTCCCGCCCTGCCTTATTGGTGGGTGCTCCACACCCCTCAAGCCCCCCGGTAGTTTGTTTCAGCTGATAAGATGTCATAAGATCTATGAGTTCTTGCTGGGATCTGCTAGGATTAACAATTGAATTCTGGGGGGGACCATTTGGAATCCGGAAGGTTGAAGTCGCCCATAAGGTAGCCTATAGAGAAGAGAGATCGTTGGAGACAGATAGCATGACTTCGTCAACTGCCTTGCAAAATCCCAGGTAAAGATCAGGAATTGCTGGGGAGGGATATAAACACCTCCCATCAATATAGGCGAGTTAGGACAATCAACTTGTGTAAACACGCATTCTACATTTTCATTAGAGGTATAGATACGAGAAGATTTTATGTGGGATTTCACAGCAATAAGTACACAACCTCCACTCAACTTATGGCTCGTAGTTGGTGATCTATCCTTCCTATAGACGTTGTAATTGGAGAACCCAAGTTCGGAGGTATGGATGTCTGGGTAGAGATTGGTCTCAGTAAGAACCACAATATCATAGATGCAGACAGACATAACTTAACTTCCTTGAGTTTAGTAATCTTACTGCGGATTCCTCTTACATTTTGATAATAAACCAGCAAGCTATCTTGCTGGCGACTTAAACGTTTTTTTGGGCCGGTTTAGCGATAATTTTAGGTACTCCGCCTTTAAATTTTATGGTAAGTGGTAAGTCCCTGTTCACCAGCTTCAGTTCTCCTCTTGAGTTCGTCCCTCAACTTGCGGAGTTGCTCCCTCTACAACACAGTTCTATCCCTCCAGATAGACGCATCCTTGTAGAAATCATTGTCAATATTCAGCATAGTATTTGCATCAAAGTTGTTGAATAGTTCAGAGACGTCAGTTTTGTTTTTGAATATTACTTTTAAAGGTCTGGCCTTCTCTTGAGAGGAGCTCCCAATACGAAAAAGCTTGCAAGGTCTACCGCAGTTGGGGTCGCATAGAGCTTCCATTATTGCACTGATATCGTCATGATCATGTTTAATATTTTCGGCTGTACCTAACCCTACTCTTGCTTTCGGGTATTCCGTGCAGGATAGCATTGAAAGAGCGACGCTCCCGATCTTGTACTTACCCCCCTTAACTTACTCCCCAGGTACATGATGTTGATACTGTCGTGTCCTCTATCTGTTGACATTATCGGTAATATGTTTCGTGGCCGTATTTTTCCGCAAAACGGCCAGCAATAGATTTTAGCGGGCGCGTGCACTAGTTATTGCCAGGTTCACACCAATAATAGGCGTTTGCCCCAAAAGTGCCAAATGTAAAAAGTGTTCAAAATAGGCCAAACAACTTAATGAGAAAAAAAACATTTTTTTCTAATATAGTTAGAAGCCCCTAAAGTAAACAAAATATTCTAATTAGTTGTTATTATAGCGCTAACAGAGAAAATACCTTTGTCCACTTAGACTACAAATAATGAAACTGTCAAACAAATAAACTTAGGCCTATGTTTTAGGCTGTGGACCATTCAACAGGTTTTATGGTTTAAGTTCTAGCATTGACTATTATATAAAAAATGATTCTAGGTACTTACTAGGTACTTATGAAAGTCTACCCTGAAGAAATACAAATTTAAATCATTTTGAAGAGCACAAGTCTAAAAACAAGAACTGTAAAATTAATAAACTTTAATCACCGGTCCCGGTCTCCGGTCGGTGAAAGTGGTCTGGTCACAGAAAACAAAACATAACATACTACTCTACTAGTACTACTGTTTGTTTTCTGTGGTCCTGGTCCGGTACGGATAGCGCTGGGTTCACAACGATATGGTTGGCATTCGGTTAAATATCGAGCTTGTTTTCTACCGGATGACAGACATCGACTTTTAGTATCGGCATCGGCTCTCTGGCTCACCGCACCGGCTGTCTCATACTCATGGTGGAATAGTAAACTATTGCCTTGGTGCCTTCTGCTGCAGCTGCTCCTATAGCTCCTATGTCTGTCGTCAAACGTCATAATGTGGCCTGGCCGACGGAAGGCCATAATTTTATTCACAATATTACAGTGAGAGTGAATGCAAATAAATAAGTACAACATAATATCTGAACCTGGCATAAAATTTGCCAATGAAAATGTTTATTATCCAATTACATTAAGGCTGATAACCAGCATGATAAATACATAAGAACTTAAATTACGGAGGAATTTTAAAATTAATATTCCAGTAACTTGCGCAATTAACGCCAGATAAATTACCACCCCCTTACTTTTAAAAGCGTTTAGATGACCTTTGCATATTTCCTCCATAATAATGCACTATGCACCATGAAACTGATCAAAAGGAACAATGTTGGAATAAATTAAATCAAATATTTTCCTCTCCTTTTAGGCTAGTCCTAGTAGTTTTTGTAATCTCTTGTCTTCTCTCTTCTGTCTGTCGGTGTTGGTTGGTTTGGTTTTTTTTTTTAACAAAGTTTATTTACAATCTGTTTTACATTAAACAATTAATAATTAAATACGATGACATTTTTATTAATAAAATAAAAATTGGAAAACATGAGTTAGCAGCTAAACTGGTTTGTTTACGTTTTGGTTGGTTGGTTGGCGCTATGGAAGCCAATCGATTTACGATATTCGATAGTAGCTGTTTTCATACTACGACGATCGATACTTAACCGTATGCCTACCATATCGTTGTGAACCCAGCGCTATCCGTCTGGTACTGGTGGTCTGGAAAGTCTGGTGAGTCCGGTGAAGGTGAACTCGACGTTCTTTCGTTCTGTACCCACGAGCATCTCAGCTTCCACATGCACAGAACCACAGAACTTACAGAAGGCCTTGGGACAGTTCCTGGATAACAGCTCTTTGTGTAATAGCTTCACTGTATATCTTTATTGGACCTGTTTAGATAGTTGTTTCTTTCAACAGTTGCAGGTTGTAGTTGCAAACTGTGCATTGTGATTTTGTGTTATATGGTGCTGTATATTCTTTTACCTACGACCGTTTTTTAAAGTAGCCATTATTTCAGTTCAGTTCTTAGAATTGAAAAGTTTCACTTAACAGCTGTTTACTTTCATATCAGCATAGTTTCATTTCATATCAGCATGGTTTTTCTCATATCAACACGGGTAACGGACCAATGAGGTTCAAGGATTGAGAGAAAAGAAGGGGGACAGCTCACTTACTCTACAGATCATAGACTATACGAGCTTTTTAAATAATATTGAAGGTTCACTTGCACTACAGGCTCGTATACTATACGAGCCTATCGAAAATAAAAAATAAATGAAGAGGGTTCACTTACTCTACGAATCATTGTGCCTATGAGCCTCGTGTATTATATTTAAAAATACAGTAGGAAGGTTCGCTTACTCTACAGATCATAGTGACTATGAGCCAAGCTTACGAATTATTTGATAATTTAGGAATCGGCTCGTATAGTATACGAGCCAAAATAATGAATAATATAAATTATAGGAATAGGCTCGTATACTATACGAGCCTGCAGAAAAATATTAGATGGCTCACTTACTCTACAGTTCATTGGCACTATGATCCGTAGAGTAAGTGAACCCTCTTCAAAATATTAGATGGCTCACTTACTCTACGGCTCATTTAGCTACTCGTTGCGCGGTTTGCGTTCGTGAAACTTTAGGCGCTATGCCCGGATTCGACTGCTGCGACTGCCTACATAAGTGTATTGCATCACCTCAATTATTTATTAAAACGAAATAAATATGTATGCACAAGTAAATTTATTACATTTTTGGACTGAATACTTTAAAAATGGAGGGAGCATGACTTTTATGTTTAATTAAATTAAACGTTATAGAATAAAACATATTTTGACTAATATCAGGTTATATAATACACACTTGTATGATCCAGATACAGAGCTACAGACAAAACCCATGGTGGAAGGAAAAGACATAGGTGTGCTATTCCCACATATTCTGACGTCACTCGGATTGCAAACAAAAGATCACCTGATTGTAACTGTGAAATTAGTATGTATTTGTTTTGATTTGATTGTTATTGTTTTTATAATAATAAAAACAATAACAACCAAATCAAAACAAATACATATAGTAATTTGACAGATACAGGTAATTTGACTGGTGATCTTTTGTTTGCAATCCGAGTGACGTCAGAATATGTGGGAAAAGCACACCTATGTTTTTTCCTTCCACCATGGACAAAACCTGTGGTCCGATTTAGATTAAATTTTGTATCTGGATTTATCCACGAGTCACTAATTTTTTAAGCACGGGTTGAGAAATAATGGCAAAAATTTATAAAAACAGTTCACCAGTTTAGAATATTTCTCAGTTACTGTGAGTTGCAAAAAAAGTGTATACAGAAGCATTTGTGTACACAGAAAATTTAGAGGACTAGATGTATACAGAAGATATATTAAAATACAATACGCACACAACTATCAACGTTTACATATGTAAAATTAATGAATTTGTTGTATTGAGTATTTTTAACATTATGACGAAGCCTTAACAAAACATATTTTTTTTAAGGAGTTCTAGGGTGTTGAACTATATTGTATTTATCTTTTGTGGAGGATTCTGTCCACGATTTATGATTGCTAACAATTTAATACAAAGATTTAAGTCTCTGTACGTGAAGACTAAAAACACGAAACAAACTTTAAAGTGATAGAAAAGATTTGATCAGGAGCTGGCGTTTGATACCTTTTGGGAATAAATATAGCCTCTACTTCAAAGGTATACATGGTGAGGTAGCCTCTGGAAGTCCAATTTGGTTAGATGACCTATTGACGTTTTCTGAAGATGGACTTATTTTCAAGTCCGAAACTATAGTAGTGTAATACTGAAGAAGGATCACTTGACGAAGCCAGGTAACTTAAACCATTTAGCTTAAAGTTATACAAGTTGGTTTCACACCAACATTTCATGCACATATGAAATCTATATAATTAATACGCGAACACTAAGTTTGTCGGTTGAATCCTCCACCATTTCTTAACCGATTTTATCCACTGACGTCTCATTGGAAAGAGCGTGTTGCGTAGATTTGCAAACTGGCCTAATAGTCCAGGCGCTAAACGGGTTGAGTATGCACTGAAAGTCTGACAAAATTTGACTTTTGGTTATTGTTGGGGACATCTAGTAGATGAAAAAAATCGATGATGTCGCATTTATAGGGTGGTCACAACTCGGGGGGGTGGGGGGGGAAGTTGCGCGGGTCATCGGTTTACGTTTCCGCGTCTAACTCACAAACGGTTAATGATAGAAAAGTGAATTAAGCGTCTATCTACGTCTAAATATATTGTCTTTTAAAAAGGTTATTACAACCTTTCTTCTATCTCTTATACTTTAGGCGCTAATCAACATTTATTGCAAAAAATAAAATTTAAAAATACTTTAAAATGAAATATCGGAAATATTGCGCTTGTTTAGGGCATGTTACAAACTATTTATAGTTAGAAAAACTAACAAGTAGTACAACAACACCAAGTTTAAAGAAATCCGTGCAAAAACAACAGAGCTAAGTTGATTTCAGTAAGAGTAAACGTGGAAAATTCGTAGTAGTATCGAGGCGCGCATGGATGGTACACGTAGCCCACAGTCAATATAGGCTTGATGTTGTAAGTAACTATGGGAAAGCTGAATTTTTCTATGCTGTTAGACCATGTTGAGATGAGCATTTTCCCAAAAGTCCCCACTCCTACCCCTTTGTGCTTTCCTCTACCCCCCCCCCCTTTTAGATAAATTTTCAGTCTCTTAGAAATTAAGCTATAACTTTAAAACGGGTAAGGATAGTAACGCAATCTTTTATTAATCATTTTGCGTTACGATATTCTACAAAAAGTGTATTTACCATGGTATCCTAAATATTCATAGTTAAAAAATATCATAAACATAAAAAAATATTTTTACGGATTAATTTATGAAACTTTTCTTTGTAGATTTTTTATACGAGGTCGCACAACAAAATTTTTGATACAAAATTTGGGGTGCATAGTTTACATTTTAAAATGATACATAGTTATTAACAGTTTGTTTGCATATAGTGGTTATAGATAGTACAGTATATTGATTTTACAGGACTCTGGCTTTTTTGTGCACCGCAACAATGAAAAAAATTACGTATATTATGGTTTTTGTATTTGAATTTGCCGCTTTATATAGATTATATTAACGTTATGTAGCTCATTCAGTACATATACAGACTGTAGTGGATACATATGAATGAATATCGTGCATTTGCTGCTGTACGCCAGAGCCTCATTTTATTATACAGGGTGTCTCACCTAAAGTGAACCAATAGATAACTTTTTTATTATGAGATATAGAGTTAACTTCTTATGGGACACTACCCTTTATTTTAAGATGTTTTTTTAGTGGTTTTGAATTTTAAAAATATGTTCGCCATTTTCCAATATGGCTGACAACTTTGTTAGTCCTATGGAATACCATGTATTTTATGATTGTTTTAGAATGTAAACGCACAATTTTTAAACCTTTTTATTCTTGAAATTTTTCTCTAAAGCTACTTTTTTAGGAGTTACATCGAAAAAGAAATGGTTTGTGAGTACATCCTGCATCCTGTAGCTCTTAAACGAGTAAGTTTAAGAGCGGAAATACAAAGAATAAAGAAGTTTTCAAATCACAAACGTTTTTTAACGTATTTTATATATTTTTTTTAACGAGGACTTATATGTGACTTATTTATTCTTTGCACTTTCTCTCTCAACTTACTCGTTTATGAGCTGCA